GCACTTGTGTAGATATATTGTACGGTAAATGGACGTATATTGTGTAATTTATGTCTCATTCCCTAATTTGTTACTTTACATTTCAACCTACACAGGAAGTGGCAGCGTAAAGGCAATGTCTTATGGCTCGAAGGTACCCGTAATTTCGAGGTTGCGGGAACGATCCCAGCGCGGGGTCGGAAATTTACTGTGTGTGTTAACGTCAATGTGTTAGTGGCTTCCTCCAGAATCTGTTTTGAAGGCCGACTATTTTCATATGTGGTTTCTCTGATCACTTAATGATTCACCTTTTAGGTGAATACCGAAGCGGCACCCTTTGCTATATCCTCCAAGCCGGTCCGAGGCGACGATGGGTGAGTACGTACCACCCTAACACACACCCTACCCCGGAGGCCTTGCGGACCCTGTAATCGCGCAGGACTAAGTTTAGGCAAAAATCAATGCAAAGATGTACCCATTTTCAGTTCATACTTATTTATAAATCAATGATATCGCTCCAACAACGTAATCCATGACCCAATTATACGAGATACGTATTATAATACCGAGAGATTTTAATACACAAAACAGTACAGTAACATTCACACTATTATTTGTCTATTTAATGGTGAAAGTGTAATATGACGATTTTACACCACTAAACAATTCTGTCACAAATGCGAAAAATTAAATTAACCCCTACAAACATCATTGACTCTTAACACATCAGCACTCCGGACTCACCTCACAGAATCCATCCTAGATATCGTGAAATTTTCATAAGCATAGATCACGAAAAACCCTTCATCGCGCAAAACAAACATCCGTACAAACTGAACACAAATATAAGACGTAGCAAATAGTAGCGTCCCAATGTCGAGAAATAAACGTTATTTGGAATTAGATCATAAAATATTTATGGGTCACGAAAGGAATGCAGGGGTCCCAGTTGTCATTTATAATTCATAAAATCACGAGGCAACAAAACGACTCAGTCGTGAAAAACGTATAGTGTGAAACGCCACAAATAACTACAAATGACCGAAATGTCAACACGCTTCGCATTTAAGCGGTTCACGGCGACACGCGTGCGCACGCGACGCTGCCATTCGCGCGACAAGGGAAAAAATGGTACAGACACGGCACGACTGCTGCTGCGGCGCGATATGAAAATTACAGTTGCCTTAAGAGGTGTTTTTTTTATTTACAAGGTCACATGGTCACCAGCTTGGCAGTTCACGTCATGGTGATCGGCGCCATCTGTTTTTAGACTTTCAATCACGACCTATTTACGATCACTACAGCGGTGTATCTTGCCCCCTCATTATTTCCAATTAACACATCTTCATCATCTAATTCAATGCTATCGACGTTCGCCAATACTGACGTTCTCGAAGCTACTTAAGTTTTCCACTATTATGTCCATATTAGCATCAATCACATTGTCATAGTTGTGCCATCACATGCTACCTCTAATCCCCATGCACGTTTTAGTCAGCGCGACCCTCGACAGTTCTTACCTAATAGTTGAACTAGTCATTACTTCCGTCAACGTTGTCAATACTTTCTGTAGAAGCGAACGAGTACTACGCCATCAATATCACACCGCTGTTGCAGGGGTCGTCCTACTCCAATCCTTGCCATCATCGCCATTAGCGGGCGCGGGGAAGACGTCACGTGGAACGACGATTTTAAAATAACAATATGAATCCAGCGAGGCAGTGGAAGCAATGCAACACGGATGGAATGTGTTTTAATTATCGAACAACGGGCTCTGTGGGTAGCTGCGGGGGAGGGGGGAGTTAGGGTAGATCGAAGGGCGGTGAAGGGGCCATGGTGGGCCGGCGGGGCGGGGCGGTCGGAGCGTGTTGTGGGTGGTTTGGAGTGAGGTGGGTCTTGGACGTGCTGGGGAGAGGGTGGGTGGGGTGGGTGGGGTTGGGGTGGGGGTGCGGGTGGGGTTGGGCGTGGTGGGGTGCGGTTGGGGTGGGGTGGGTGGATGGAGTTCGGGTGAGGTGAGTTGGGTGAGGGGGGTGGGTGGGTGGGTGGGGGTGGGTGGGGTGGGGTGGGGGTGGGGTGGATGGGGGGGGTGGGATGGGATGGGATGGGATGGGAATGGGATTGGATGGGATGGGATGGGATGGGATGGGATGGGATGGGGTGGGGTGGGGTGGGGTGGGGTGGAGTTCGGGCGTGTGGACGGGGGTTAAGCGTGAAGGGGTCGAGTCTGGGAACATCCGAGAAGGGAGGAACGCAGCGGGTTGGGAGAGAAATGGGTGCTTGTTGGGAGTGAGCTGGAATACGTTAGGGTGGCGGGAGTGGATCAGAGCGGTTGGAAACGAGTCAATGCACGCCGGGGCAGAAACACCAGCGGTGGGGAGTGGTGGAGAGCGGGTAGGGAATGTGGGATGGGGTGGGGTGGAGTGGGGAAGACGGGGATGGGGAAGAGCACTCAGCCGCGTGCCTCCGCCGCGGAGGCCACGCGCGCTAACGGGACGACGCGACGCGGACACGTGCCGCGGTTCCATGCGAGATGCGTTTCTGTTGTTGCCTCCTGACCGAAAGGACAAATAAACGATAACTCTTACATCTGCCTCTTATCTGGAGGAGCGGCCACTGGTGTACGCGACGCCCAACACACCCAGAAGAGACGGAGGCAGCGTTAGCTGTGGAGATGGTAATGGTGACGTTGGCGTTGCGAGATGTGCGTCATGTTAGGAAGGCTTAAGAGGGCAATTGTGGGCAAACAGCTTATACAGGAAATAGTAGACACATTTAATTCATAGAAAATCTCAAAATCAACCCTGGATAAGCATAATTAAAGGTAGTTTATGTTTTCAAGAAGACTTCGTCGCCCACATATTTAACTTTTTAACTTTAACGTAATGGTAATTGTGCTGTAATTCACACGATATACCCAAGATCCAGAATGGAAGTAGAATGGAAGTCCAACTACGCCTTTTCAACTTAAGTTGAGAAGAAACACAACTGATACCAAACATCATATAGAAACCAATCATTTTCAAATCAAGACTAAGCAATTTCAAACTCAGAAAAAACAATGACAAATCAGCTATTGTTTTAACATTATTGTATAATACATATAGTACCTACTTTTTTTTTTTCGAGTAATAAAATCGTGTGGTTATGAAGCCATATATACAAAAATTGGAAGTTCCTAATATTAATAAGCAAATTTGTGTAGTCTATAATAATAATAATAATAATAATAATAATAATAGGAGAAGTCTGACTAATTCACTCAGTGTAAAAAAAGGCGACCGAATATCGTTGGATAAATAATAAAAAATCAAGTTTCAAAACCGAAGTGTTATGACGCGGATTAAAATTACGGAGGAGTATTCTTGATTCAATGCATTGGAAAAATTCAAGACATACATTGAAGGATTGGAAACAAAAATTTGAAGAAAATCATTTTTTTTTTTCTTCAAAAGAATGTACGCGGAAACATTTGATGGTTGGATGTACACACTTAGATATTAGCAGAGAATCCTAAAAAAATAATAGCATGGGGACCAATGCAAAGCGTCGGGTGTACGTGTTGCTATTCTGAAATTATCAAGCGGATAACATCCCCATTTTATAGGACGAAGCAAATTCCAACTAACTACTACTCGAAGCAGCTACCTATCACCAGTGCGTCGCGGAACCAACATATGTGCTTAGGACTGATTTATCTATCAAATTAGAAGAGGCGCGTTTTTGAAAAGTCGAAGCGAAATAGTTTGTGTACGTATGTCTGCGTAAAAACGTACATCATCACTCGCATGTGTTGGTAGTTGATAATGCTATCTGAAGTTGCTTAATCTCAATTTGAAAGTGACATGTCTCAACATGAATATCTCAGCTTGCTCATTGCTCAGTCTCAGTTTCGTTGTGTTCATTCCTAATTTGAAATGGTTTGATAGCAATTTGATATTAAAAAATTATAACAAACATTTCTTAACACAGCTGACAAATAACCACATCGTCTACCTTATAAATTTTCAATGTGTACAGAAAGTGAAAGATAAATATGCTTCCCGGTCTTTTGAAAGTTGTCCATGATTAAATAGCTAGGAACTCGGGATAAATACAAAAAAGTTTCAATTTTGAATGCAAAATGCAAGTGATTGTGTTATTCTCCTTATTGCCAATCTACGCGTACATACTAAATTCACGAAGCTAAAGTCATGCGACTGCAAGGCTTCAAGTTTGGTTAAAATTAATTTTCAGGTTTTTACAATATTCAGGAGCTATGGACGATTTTTCGCACCATTTTCTAATGAATCTGCTTGACACAGGATGAAGTACAGATAATAATGCACACTAATTACGTATACTATATTCTTCAAAATGAAGTTCATTAGAACCTCTACTTACTACAAAAACATTTAGACCACACATTTTTTAGTCAAGTAATTAAGTGAACCATTCTTCATTCTTCTCTTGGAAACATGTTTATTTCACATATGTTTTTGCTTTTAAAATAGTAAGTACCAGGGCATAAACTGCAATAATTTCCTTTCCTATTTCAAGATACGCGTAGCATAAAAAGGGAATTTGTACACCCACCACTACGAAACGTTGGAGGCCGTGACTGGTACGGCAGCAACATTCACTAATAATTTATTTATTAAATTATTCTCATAAATATTAACGAGGAGACTTATCCGACAACTTAAAAATCTTTAAGAGGGATTTTAATTTCCATGAAAGCGTTGCATTTTACTTCTTTATAAGACGTCAGAGTTTCGATGCCAGAGCATCTAAATAACAAATTGAGGTATCCAATGAGAGGGAGCTACTCCACAAAATTCAAAACATCATATGTGTTTGTAGTCGTATATGTTCGCAAATCGATATTTTGAATTTTGTGGGTTAGCTCCCTCTCTCACCGGATGCCTCAATTAACTTCGTGATATTCAAATTATCATTAGGAAATACGATAATTCAATAAACATTTCATTTTCTAAACAAGTTTCTCAAAGTAATAAAATACAAGGAACTTTAATACGACTTACCGACTTATAAGATTTTCAGTCGGAACCACGCGACCAGGGCACGCTAATTTGTAGTAGTTTACTCCTCTACATTCAACACTCTGAAATAGAAGTTAGCAATTGAAGTTTAACTACACCCACACCAATGAGAGAAAATAGAAACGAAAGGGGCGCTATATCTCACCTCTGCTGAATAATAACGTTGGGTATTTGTTAAATCAATTATAAGTCTCATTCCTGGGTTGCTCTCCACCAGTTCTGCAGGAGTGAACCTGTAATAAAAGAAAGTTGCATTACTGGAATTTTTTATGAATACATACAATCAATAGAACAAATATGCATTCAATGAAACAAATTCATTCAGCTGCAGCTCTACTACAAAAGGTGGAAATGTACGTATGTGTATGAGTCGCTTTCTGAAGAAGTGATAGTTAAAGATGAGATTTCTCTCTGCTTGGACTCACCATTTGGATTTCAATTTTATTTTAACCGTTTACGTGTTGACCGTTTTTAACACGGTGATCAGTTAATGGAAAAATATTCTCCAACCTTTCCCCACTATGTCCGCACTTGCAAATACTATCAATATATACAATACGTTTAATGAAGCACCGTCTTAAATTTCCAGTTCAAAGAATGTGCAATGTGAACAAACAGCAGGTCCCATATTGTTAACGACTTTTGGCCCATTTTAATATTATAAGAAATAATTCTAAAAGAGAACAATATACTTTCTCACTTATTATGGTTTGTCAGACGATTGATTTTTAAATTAAATGTCCCCATATATAAGACACAAACTGTAAATACAACAATACAGCAATATTGAAAAAGTTTTGGCTGCATAATCTGTAACGGGCGATATTATTTATCTTTAATAACATATTTTCAACAAATGGTAAAAGAGATACCTTACTAATGACACGGCCCATCCGCTTTAACTTAATCGACTGTGGGTTCAAAAACACAGAGCAAGGCTGCGGAGCGCAAACGACGCGAGATGATACAAGCGAAGAGATGTATAGGGTTTCCGATCCTATCTTCCCCACGCACACCAACATAGCAGTTAACAGTAATAATTATTAAGTTGTTCGTAAACACAACGACAAAATTGCATTTACAGACATGGAAACAACAGCTAATCAGTAACGTTTTGTTTAAATGTATAGAAGGAAAACAAAATTGGGATGTTTGAAGAAAAATTTCAGAGATGCAAATTCTATTCAACAAGAGTGCGGTATCAAGTTTTGAACTAAATAGCAAACAAGCCGGCGCTCAGTTAATATAGACGTTTAATAATAATAATAATAATAATAATAATAATAATAATAATAATAATAATAATAATAATAATATATCACACGTTCATTTTCATAACTACCTTGTTACCAAGTTAGAACGTTCGCCTAAATTTACAGTTCATCTGACTTTTCTGATACCGTTAGTTACGAGAGTATATCTGGCTCGATGGAACAAACTGAGGTGCTACCGGCGATGTCTTAAGAATATCGACAGAAGAGGGTTGCCCTTTCAGTAGGGTAGGATATCCACTTCGGTAAGGGATGCAAGCCAACTTACAACCATGCCTGATGAACAACTTCAGCGAGCCTCGCAAACTCTGGGACATTAGTTAAAAATTGTCCAAAGATTTTGGTCGTATAACAATCACAGTATTAATATACATTCTATGTGTTGATTAGAGAGTTTTAAATAAGTTGATATTCATAAAGTACTCTCAACAAAGCACAAACTCACAAAATATGCTGGAAACAAAATGAAAAATCCAAACTTATATTACTGTTATCAATGTGAATAAGAGTGACGAGTTTGTTTTAATCCAAACATGTAATCACCTGTAAACATTCACTGTAATAAATTAAACCATTTCCAAAATTCCCTCGAATCCAAAGCAACCACTCGTTCCCATTCCAGAATGCTACGCCCGCAGGAGGAAACGCGATGCGGCGCTCCGGCAGCGTCAGCTGGATGCCGGCGGGCGCCGCGCCGCGGCCGTTTAGAAACCACCGCCGCCGCGCACGACACTAAAGCGCAGCCTTTATCGTCGCGGAGCCGCACGCCCCGGCGGCCGAGGCGGGGGCGGCGCGGGCCCTGTCGCTATTCATTAGACTCCCGCGGCGTCACCCGTCACGAGAGAAAAATTATTTTCTGAACATTAACGCTCTAACAGTCGGGCTCGTCGGCATAAAAGCTACATATGCGGCTGCGGTGGGCAGCGAGAGCAAGGGTGGGCGGCGGCGGTAGTGGCGACGACCCGCGACGGAGCGCTCGTAGAGTGCGGAGGTGGCACGGGCGGTGGAGTCAGCAGATAAGGGCGGGCCGGTGGAGACGGCAGGGGCAGGCGCTGAGACCACGAGATTCTCTTGAATCCAAAGAGACGAAGCGACGGCAGAGAGGGCGGCGCGACAGCGCTCGGGGCAGCGGTGGAACAAGAGGTGGTTGAAGCAGAGAGAGACGGCGGTGCGGGGCGGTGACGGCCGGAGCGGGCGGTGGAGCCGGAGTCGGCCCCGACCCGACCCCGTCCACGGCACCGGCACCGGCCCCGGCGCGGCCACCGCGCGCCCCCGGCCGTCGCCCGCCCCGCCGGCGTGCGTGTGCGGCGATCTCCCCGGCGGGGAGGGCCGGCGCGCCTCATAAATTTCGTACCGGGCCCCAGACGTATAATTACACGTACGGTGAGTTGCAGATAAAGGGCCGCGTCAACTCATTTTTCTTGAGTAGCAGCGGTTTAAACTCCCTTAAAAGTTCGGACCCTGCGGTGCGTCGGGCCATCAAGGCCGTGGGCGGAGGGGAGGCGGTGGCGGAGGGGCGAGGCCGGGGCTGAGGCGGCGTCGGCCGGCGGAGCGGTTGCGGCTGCGGCGGGAGCGCGGGCCGTGGCCCGGCCGCTGCGGGCCAGAGCGGCATCTGGGCGACCCGCCCTCAGGCCCGGCGATGAGAAGCGATTCATCCGCCCGTTGCAGCCAGCCGACACTCTTCACTAAACAGTGTTGTTCTAGACACACGCATGCAGTCTCAACTAACCAATGGTCATGCAAGCGTTGCAAATGCAATTACCTACACGGTGGCAAACTACAATCGCTTGACTAACCAATTATTAAAAAATAATTAGGGTAATGCTTCCGGATTGTTTCATACCAGTGAAGTATTGTTAAACGTAAATACTTGCAAGGAATTCCACAAATAACGTGGATGAGAGTTACGAACGTTCGGAATCTCCGACGTCATGACTCCTGAAATATCTGGAATAAAGGAGTGAACTCCATTGGGAATAGCAGGTCAGAAAAAACGGCCCCTCAAATCCGTACCCGGGTCTTTCTAAGCGAATCACCTATCGCCACTGCTCGCTCTATGGATTCCCACCCCGTCCGACCGTGGTATTCTGCTGCGTTCGCTGCTCCGCCAACTGCAGCTGCTGTCGCCGCCCCCGCCGCAACCTTTTCAATCGGCGCGCGGGCGCGTGCTCAGCTGCGAGGGAAGGAGCGAAGCGGCGAGCGCCGGGGCAACGACGGCGACGCCGGCGGAGGCCGCGGCACTTGCTATGCGCAGCGCGCGCCCGTCGCACCGCAGGAAGCCACGCGTAGAAATTAACATGTAACTCGTAATTACCATAGTATTCCTGACAGCTGCAACGTAGGCGGCACCCAAAGCACTGGGAGAACTTTTTTCGGCGATGCCAGAATTTATCGTCGGATTTCTGACAGGTACAACGTTAGCGAAAGAGGAAATGGTTTTACAACCAGCTACGATGTAAATATGGATGGATTGATGTGCTGTCAGGAGGGACTCGCCCACACCGGCGCGTCCAACGGAAGCAGACGTTCCCAACGAGCCGCATTCCGGCGAGCGGCGGGCGGCGAGCCGTCTCCATGGGAGAGGGCCGCGGCGGCAGGGAAGGCGCGGGCGTAAGTTACCGACGATGACGGCGAGGAGAAAGGAAAGGGCGCGCGGATAAGAAAAGCTCACACGCAAGGACGAGGCGCTCTAAGTAAGTGAATGATTCTAAGGCACAAGAAGGTCGGATGCTACTGACGGGGAAAACAACTCAAGAATCAAAACAAACCCGATAATATGAAATTATTTAAAAATCTATTAACATGATTGGCATAACGAGGCAACGGCAGGGGTTTACAGGAAAAGAGCGAGTGGAGTATGTGAAGGGCGTACGTTCATCTCGAAGACAATCTGAAAGACAAGGGGCATTTATAAAAAAAAAAGATACCATACTGATCAGAAGAAGCAAATCCAAGAAAAACTATCAGCTTCAATAAATAAAATATTTGTGCCAAAGAGAAAAAAGGGAAAATAAATATGAGACTTAACAATCGTAGACAACTATCGTAGACAGAAAACGGGAGAAAAAATTGATAAGTGATAAAACCAAACAATGTAATGAGAATACCTAAGATGTTTAAAAAAGTCGGTGTTCGAGAATATGAAACGGAGAACACGAAGAGCGCAGAGCGCCTTCGACGCTGCTTTTCTCCATCCACCTGTGGGCAGCTTCCCAGCACGGCCGGTGCTGCGGCGAGCGCAACCACAGCCGCGTCCTTGACCCTTGACCACGAGGCCTCACCGCCGCCCCCTCCTGGGTAGACAGCCATCGGTCCACGCGAACGACAGCTGACCCGTGCTACGCGGTGAGGCGCGGGGCGGCGAGGCCGGGCTCGCCTCCATTCGGCTAGGCGCGCCAGCCGGCCACTCCTCGGAGACCTGACAAATTAACGCATTTATCTCGACGGTTTCAATTGCCCCCGCAGGCAGATCGGGCCCCCCGCTGTGAAACGCGGGCGAGTGGCAGCAGAAGCGGAGACGGCGGCGGTAGCGATGGAACAGGGGGGTGGCAACGACAGGGGCGGCGGGTAGCGAGACACGTTGCATCCTATGCATGACCCAGTACGGGCGACCCGTGGTGTCGGACTGCTCATCCTCCACCGCTGGTTTGAGTCTCAATTCCAGTATAAACCCATGTGGAATTTGTGGACAAAACGGGTTCACGAGAAGATTGCCAGTTTCCCCTGCGTCTCATTTTTCCAGTGCATCATCATCATCATCCAAATAAAACCATTCTTTTCTGATACGGCTGAAAAAGCTAGAGACATATGTTCAGCAAAAAAGAACATGCACCTCCCTGTCCCCTTAACGGGCGGCCACAAGCTCACGTGACAAATTTTGAACTGAAATGTATCATAGACGAATGGCAAGTAATCACACCGTTGCGAAGAATCCGTGGGGAATAGTGGGGACACCGAAGCAA